ACCCACGCGCGAGGGGCTTGCGGGTATGATTACGTATGATACCACCCCTTCCCCCCCTTAGACCGATTCTTACCCATGCGTGAGGGGCTTGCGGTAAGGTGATGGAAGATACCACCCACCCCCCTCTGGACCCATTCTTTTTTACCCCTGCTGCTCAAGAGGGCAGGCGGTGGCGGAACCATCTCGTCTCGTGGAGAGATGAGGATTCCGGAAGGGTGCGTCACGCGACTGCTGCTGTCGTCGCGTAGCTTGGTTGTGGAAAAGGTACATCATGTCATGTCACGTCACGTCATGTGACCGATGCTGTGGTTGAAGGATGAGTCGAGTGAACTTTTCTTTGTGAATCGGTCGGTCGGTCCAGCGGAGGGGGACGAAGCTCCCGCTAACGTTCTGTCGAACTGACCCCCCCCCCCCCAAGTGGACCCGTGAGGGACGGGGGGGGGGTTCTTCCATAGGCGTAGGCCGGAATCATCCTTGACGATGGCGAGTGTTGGGGTAAGGAGAGTCGACGAAAGGGTTGATTTGGCTGAGTGCTCTTGTAAGGGAAGTCGACTATAAGGGTGCTGATTGGAGGATAAGGCTTACAGTTTGGCCGGAGTAGTGGGCGTTCGCGTTAATAAGGAGGTTCTTTCAATGAAGGGGCTGATTAAGGACTACATTAAGGACTACTTCGGCGTGATTCATTGCTGGTAATTGTTTGCTGCTCGCGCGAGTGTTCCGCGTAGGGGAAGTCGACAATCAGGGTGTTGATCGGAGGAGTAGGCTTGCGCTTGGGCCGGATTGACTGCTGATGGTAGCTTCTCGCTCGGGTGGGCGTTCGCGCTAGGAGATTCGACGAGAGGGTTGATTAGGCTTTGCTTTGGCGTGATTCATTTCTGCTGATTGCTGCTCGCGAGAAGTGAGTGCTCGCGTATGAATCGAGTCGACGAAAGGGTGTGGCCGCGGCAACGGATTCGCCCACACCTTTCTCGACGCCTTTTTTGTCGGCCGGATCGCAGCAGGTTGTTGGTGTTCTGTGGTTGGCGGGATGGATATGTTTTTTTTTTTTTTTTCTCGTCTTCGGCGTGTCGACGTTTTTTGCCTTCTGTTGGATGGCCAGCTTGTGCCTTTGCTCCGGCTACCATGCATATGTCCGTAGGTGATGATATGCGTTATTTCTGGGCGGCGGTGCGCACAGCGGAATTTCTCCGGTAGAAATATTATTCAGGCTTCGTTCACATCTCTTTGCGAAGTGTGTTTCGTCGGGCACTCTCGGTTTCGGCGGTGCCACCCAGATGAGTCGATCGCTTTTCCCTTCTTCGCGGGAACAAACCTGGGGTTTGCTTTTGTTGTTTCGTGGTGGCGTTCGGCATCGTTTTTCGTGATGTTTAACGCCGGTTGGTTCACGACAAGTCGGTATCGTGGGCCGGAGAGGAATCTCGGTAAATGTAGAAGAGGCGATTGCACGACTTTTTTTAGCGTCGCCCGGAGGCTTTTCCATCTGTTGCTGTAGAAGACTAGCGAGACCCCGCTGTATTGCCCCCCGTAGTGTGTTCAATAAAGTCATGATTGTTTGCACGCTACGAGGTACAGAAGGGGTACGTAAGGCAGCTATAACGTGTTCGCCGCTCCCTGATTCCGAAGTGTGCCGTACTTGGTCTTGGAAACACGCGTTGCGGGGAGCTAGCTAGCTGCTCGTGTAATCCCCACCCGCGGTCCATTTCGGGTCGAGTTTTCAAGGCAACGATGGTGACGAGATTAGACAGGCTGCTGTATTGTTGACTCACTGCTGTATTTTGCCGACGGCAGCGAGCGGTTGGTTCGATTACTGCATCGGGAAACTTGAATATTTCTATATTTCTGCCAGTTCTCAGGAGGGGGAGGGGGAGGGTAAAGATTGCAATTGTCCAGGTTGACCCCTGTGACAGAGCTAAGGAGGGGGAGGCGGGGTAAATGTTGCAAATGTCCAGGTTGACCCCTGTGACAGAGGTGTCCAAGGACAAACTCCCACACTAAAAAAGGAGTATAACAGACACCCTCGACAAGGCCTGTCAACTGCCATGTTGAGGAGCGGCCGTGCTATGTATGAGGCACCCTGACAAGTTGCGTTTGTCGTGTCGGAGTTGAAAACTGTGGCGCGTTAAGCAGGGTTGGGGTTGGGGGGGGTGCTACAAGTATGGGTTGTGAAAATGACAGCCACGCCATCAATCGAGAATAGTCTCAGTCGATCAAAAGTCTTTTTTTTCCGTCTGTGGAGTTTTCAGTAGCATAGCGGACCCCTTGCCCGACCGGGTCGAAAAGGCCGATCTCAGCCCACACTGCGAACCTCCGAGAACTACCAGCAGTTCTGGGTAGCTGAGACGATTTCAAGACCTCTCACAGTCGTTTGAGCATCTATCGCTTGCTGTGGGGCGATAACCAGTTTCTCCGTCGACAAGAAGATCTGCGTTACATCGTCACATCGGAACGACCAGATTGGTTGACTTGTCGTTGAGGGTCCTCTTTTTATAGATCTTTTTGTATAAGAGTCGTCTTCATTTTTTTCGCCGCCCGCGCCAACCCTTCTTTTTACAGATCTTTTTATATAGAGTCGTCTTCTTTTTTTCGCCGCCCGCCCCAAGCCTTGCTTGCTTCTCTCGTGTCCCGCGCCAAGCCTTGCTTGCTGGCTACGCTTCTCTCGAGATGCTGACCGACCTCAGCACACAGCTGGACATTCTGTGTACATACAGCAGGAGCTGCTTTTGTTCTGTTGTTGCAACTTTCTGCATGGATGGCTCTTTTGTGGTGCGAAAATTAGCATTTATTGTTGTTGTTGATGTGCGGACGAGAGGACGAGAGTGGTAGGCAAAAGCAGTACGTACCTGCAAATCTCCGGCAACTACCAGCAGTTCTGGGTAGCTGAGACGATTTCAAGACCTCTCACAGTCGTTTGAGCAGCTATCGCTCGCTGTGGGGCGATAACCAGTGATTTTGTGATTTTCTTCCTTAGTCTATAGTGACCGTTGTACACATGCGGTGGCTGCTGTTATGCTCGGAAGATGCTGCAAAGGTCATAAGGTTATCGTCTCTGTCGCTTGGGCTGCACGCCGTGCTCGCGTAGGAGATGCGCATTCCTCATTTTTTCTCTGTGCCGATATCCATGAAGAAAAGCAACGGCAGCACGGTTGAAGATACAGACAACAGACGGTCCGCCATACCCTTTTTTTTTTCTTCTCTTACATGCATGGATGGGTGGTAAAGCATCGCAAGCGTGTTGCTGCCTTACTTACCTTTAGTGTGCTGCGTAGTCGTAATTTGAGCGATAAGGGGTAGATGGCAGGACAACAATCTTATTTGCGTAGTGAGGTTTGACAACTGGTCGTTCGTGGAACGGTGCGCGTCTATCGCGACGGCAAGCGTATTGAGAAAATAGTTCGTCCGTGGTGCTTCTCGTCATCATTTTCTATTTCGTTGTCACTTCATACTTCATACCACAAGTGATGAAAGAGAGTCTCCACAGTTAGTTCGGAAACGGCGACTATATTTGGTTTGTTGCGTTTGTTGTTGCTGAGCACACATCGGATGTCGTCGTTCGTTACAGCCTGCGGTGGGCCACAGGGACGAGAGTGAGTGTCTTCGGTTAGGGTCTCGAGAGTTAATTAATGCCTTCTCTACGCTTTCTTCTGTTGATCTACGTAGTAGTAGCACCTGTCTCTCCTTTCGCCTATTATCGCCGTTGGGGTCCCAACAACATCGAACGTCAACCGCAATCGTTTTTCTTCTTGCTGAGTAAGAGGCTATTTGTGTAGTACGTACCCGGCTGCTGTATGTGAGGCGATGGGCGCTGCCTCTTTACTTGAAGCAACGGGGGCATGGCCCCTATAATGTTTGCTGCATGCTGTGCTATGTGACAGCTTCCAGCGGTTCAGAGCGGCGACGGTGGTTTTCGTATGCTCTCTTTTGCCACCTCCCTGAAGCCTGTCGCGTCTGGCTCACTTGTCTTTGTCGTCCCTTCTTCTTTTTCTTTTTTTTCTTAACATAGTCTATATTTTATTTTTCCGCTTGCTTTTTGGGGTCCGCCGGTCATCCGCCCACCACCCATTAGTTCAGTTTTAAATGTTGTTGTTGTTGTTGTTGTTGTTGTCTTCGCATTAAAAACCGTTCAGATCTCTCTCTACCCAGTACCTTCATATGTGCGTACTGATCCAACACTTGACGCGGTCGATTCCCGTGGTCACAGGCTAACTTACCCTAAAGAGGTACGCTAAAACAAACTGGCCCCGAAAGGTCCGCAAGTCAATAAAAATCAACGACAGATATTCTTTGGAACGGGGTGTTTACTTGCCATCTCTATGCAAGTTTCACAATTAATTTTGAAGCTTTTCTGAAGCTAGTTGAAACAGTAGTGTCATCGTTCGATATCCGTTCGGTGAGGAATCAATCGCAAATCATGACCCGTCCCCGAGTTGTAGCAGCTTCCGCCTCCTGGGGCCGGCAAGAGTCGGCCTTCACTGCTGTACCTTGTCTGTTTCGCCATGGGAATGGCCGGTTCAAAGCGAAAGAGGGTCCTGCGTGCTGCGCGCCACCACCTTTTTTTTTTTGCGTTTGTTTGTTGTTGTGATTTTCTTCCTGAGTGACCGTTGTTGTACACAACATGCGGCTGCTGCTGTACACATACTTGCGGTTGCTGCAGTATATGCTCGGAATGTGCTGAAAAGAAAGGTCGTAAGGTTATCGTCTCTGTTTTTTTGGGCTGCACGCGTTGCTCGCGTAGGCGATGCGCGTCTCCTACTTTTTTCCAGTGTCGTTGTCGGCAGCACAGTCAGTTGAAGAGACAAACAACAACAGACGGTCCGCCTTGTTTTGTTTTGCTGCATGCATGGTTGGTATGCATCGGCACGCGTGTTGCTTCCTTGCCTTGAGTCTGCTGCGTAGTCGTAATTTGAGCGATAGGTAAGCTAGATGGCAGCACAATCTTAGATACTACGTAGTGAGGTATGATAACCAACAGCTCGTTCGTGCAGCGGTGCGCATCTATGGCGGACGGCAAGCGTATTGCGATAATAGTTCGTCCGTGGTGCTATGTAGTCGTGCTCTTTTTAGTTCTCACTTCCTACAACAAGATAGTAGTCCACAGCTCGCACACGGCGACTGACTATATTTGTTTGTTGTTGTGCTTGTTTGCTGTTGCTGAGCCGACATCGGATATCGCCGTTCGATACACAACGTGACATCATGTCTGACAGCCTGCGGCGGGCCAGAGGGACGAGAGTGAGTGTCTTCTCGACAGAGTCAATGCCTTCTCTTCTCGAGAGAGTCAATGCCTTCTCTTCTCGAGAGAGTCAATGCCTTGTCTTCTCTCCGCTCTCGTATTTTTGTCTACCTCTCTTTCTCTCTCTCTCGCCTTTCGCCGGTAGGGTCCCAACAACATCGAACGTCAACCAACCGCAGTCGTTTCGCTTTTTGCTGAGTAAGAGGCTACCCGTGCATCCGGCTGCTGCATGTGAAGCGATGGGCGTTATGCCAAGCAATGGACTTGGGCCCTACCTAATATTTGCTCCATATGTAGTGCTATGTGAGAGTTTCCAGCGGTCCGGAGCGAGCGGCGACGGTGCTTTTCTTCTATGCGCTCTTTTGCCTCCTCCCTGAAGCCTGTCGCGTCTGACTCGTTTGTTCTCGCTTCTTTCTTTCTTTTTGTTTTTCATGCTTTTGTTTTTTGGGGTCCCCCGGTTCCTGTGTGCTCATCGGGCATCTTCTTGGTGTCTACCTTGATTGTTACCCGCTGCAAAAATCGAAAGCTTCAGACAGGCAACGCGACGATACTCGTCGAGATGCCATACACAATGAATTCATTGCTAATCTGTCTCAGACTCTTTTCTATGATGGAGATGGATTCGTTGTGTCATATTAAGAAGAATAAACATAAAAAAACATCCTGTCGTTACTCTATCGATACCTCACACCCACCCCTACTCACGCCGACGCAGACACAGACAGGCAGACTCAGCTCTTTCGCCTGTGCTGTATCTGTTGTTCGTGCGTGCTGAAAAATGGTACATACAGCAGCAGCTTACCGCAGCAGGAGCTGCTTTTTGCTTGTTTGTACAGCTTTTCCTGCAGGGATGGCTCTTGTTGTGCGGCAAGTTGCATTGTTTGTTGTTGATGCGGACGAGAGGACGAGAGTGAGTGGTAGGCAAAAGCAGTACGTACCGTGTTAAAGGGACAGACAGAGTGCCTACCGTGTGTATGTAGACGTTGCATTTCGTGATTCCCGAGGATCGGATGTATGTGTTGTTTTTTTATTGCGTACCCGCGTCCATCACGACCATTATTGCGTAGTGTGTCGGCTAATTAAGGTCCTTCCCGTTCGTGGTGTCAGCACACGCGCAACACGCGACTAAAATAAAAATATAAAGCTTGGGACTAGCAACGCCGACGATATTCGTCGGCTTGCTTTCAACAATCGAGAATAAATTAGGACTGGAACAAATTACGATTCACTAGCCACCAATCGGGTGACGGAGCAAGTAGGTGGGTTTTGCTTTTCTTATGTATGCAAAGGACTGGAGATGATGATGAGCAGAGAGAGGGGTTGTCGTATTCTGGCTAACCATCTCTCGGTTGCCTCGCTGCTGCTGCTGCTGCTGCTGCTGCTGCTGCTGCTGCTGTTGTCTCACTAGTTCGAAGTAATATTCGAAATATATATAGAAGTGAGGGGAAAGAGTGATTACGGCGAATTGTTGGGAGAGTGTGTTGACCATGGAATACGCAAAGTGTGGCAAAGAGGGCTGGCTGCATTTCCTTGTACACAATACTACACGTAGAGTCTTTTCTCTATTTTTGTTATATGCGTTGTCTTTTGAGCCCATTAACAGGGGGGTGCAGCGGGCGTAATACCCCTCGATTGCAGCCTGCTAATCCTAGGGTTGTCGGCCTCAGGTCTCTGCTTAGAACTAATTCCGACATTTCTTTGAGCTGCCCCGCCCTGAAGCAGTGGAAATAAATATATGTGTGGATTGTGCCGTATGAAGAAAGGAAGAAGAGTGTTCGGTTGCGTTGTTTTTTTGTTGTTGTTGCACGGTGGGCACGGTCGAAGATAACTTTTTTTCCCACCAGTCAGCCAATGAGAATGAATGATGTTGGGATGCAGCAGCAATGATAAAGGGGTTGGCTCTCAAGCAGTGTGCGGCGCCGTACTACATGTAGTACTGCACAACTAGTTGTTGTGCCGTACTCGTACTGCACAACTAGTTGTTGTGCCGTACTCGTACTATCATCGTTCCTGTCATCACGGTCGCTCAACTACAGGTTTTTCGCCGCACGCAAGAGCCTCGAAAAGCTAGAAAGAGGCAACAAGCTTGAACTTGAGCTCCGTTTTGTGGCATACAGAGCACGCCAACAGAAGCGACTAAAAACAAAATGACTTTTGGCCTTCGTGGCGTACAGAACGCGCGAAGAGAGGCGAGTACGATACAAAGGGCCGTGGAGAGACCGAAGCTCTCTACCGAGAGCTTGCCCCACCATGGGTTGGTTACCCACCGGCTGTTGGTCCGGTGGAGGAGTTGAAGCCATTTTATTCGAAGCTACTCGAACGGTGCACCACTGTCATCGTTCCGCAGCGGGCGGGCGCGAAAAAATAGTGTGGAGTACAGCAGTGAGAGGCTCATCCCGCACGTTGGGATATATCGAAAGACGTCGGGGTTGCAAAACCCAAAAGACGTGTACTACACAGCACACTCCCTTCGGCTAGGGAGGACGTATCGGAACGAACGATCCAGCAGAGGGTCATAGACGTTTATTTCCTTGCACTCCCTCCGGCTAGGGGTGGCCTGTCGGAACACACGATCGTTCCGATACATCCTCCCTAGCCGAAGGGAGTGCGAGCAAACGTCTATTGGGTCACAGCCCAACTTCTCTTGATATATATCCAGACATGCGTGCAGAAGAAGTCATGTTCTTTCGCGCCACATTCACGGAGGAGGGAGTGACGAGATAATCGAGGAAGAGCACGCGGTACTGTACCCGATGACAACCTCGGGGTGGATCGCGCTCAAAGCTCACTGGTACACACGTTGGGAGCTTTGGTGGTTCATTCCTCGACCTCTCGGGGTCCACTGCGACAGCAGAAGCTTCCAAGAAACTTCCTACGGCCAATTCCTCAGCAAGTGATGCCGGCAACACCACGGGAGAAACGCCAAACAGGCACCGCTTCGAGAGTTCCGTCCACTTCGGTCTACTGCGAAAGCACAAACTTCCAGAAAACCTCCTACGGCCCATTCATTCATCGTCATCAGTGAAACGGCAGCGGCAGGACCAATGATTGCATCTTCTGAGTGAAATCAACAAAGGACCAGCGAGAGCCGACAAGAAACAAAACAAGTCTAGCCCAGGACTCTCCAAATAGACCAAATAATTCTTCACGTGATGTGGGAAGGCGTAGATGCTGTACCATGGGTAAGTCCCGCCGTTCTCAGGCCGGGTGCGAGTCTCAGCAACAAGAAGAGTAATCGTGATTCTCTGTCTAGAGAAGCAGCTCGTAAGGAAGGTTCCTCTTCCCATTCATTGAAAAGACTCCACCACAGCTGTCTCCCTTCCACTACATAGGAGGCATATTTTTCTCAAACTGGTAGTTGGTTGTCCTTTCAACGAATTGTGTGCATGTCTAAATTCTCTGAAGAGAGAAGGAGCAGCAAAAATCGTTTCACCGGTCACGGTCACACGAGCAAACAAGGAAGGAAAGAAAGAAGGAAGCAAACACAAAATCGACAAAAATGACTCGGCCCAACAATTATTCCGACTTTCCGTGCATGCCGAAATATCAAATGTTCCGCCACAGTGACGTGCAAAAAAAAATAAAGGGTCCCCGCGGACAGGATTTCCAACGATCCCCCGTGGAGCTACGACGGAAAATAATTAACCGCGGGAACAGCGTGTCGGAAGTGTCCTGTCCGCAAAGCGCCGGGATTTTCGTTTGACCTCTAGCGGCGTTTTTTTTTCACAGCAGCAGCAGCGGTGAAGGGCATGCAGATCCGCGAGCATCACGCCGCCTTGACAGTGCCAACCTGCAACACGTGTGGCGATTTGAGGCGGGGAGGGCATGGCAGGAGAGGAAACCTCGGTTACAGAGTGCATACATCGCGGTAAAAGTTGCTTGGCACAATCACCTACCACAGTACTAGTCCAGGGACCTTCCCATCAACATTCCTTGGGCACAACAAACCCTACAACATGCCTATGATACAACATCACTATTCAGGGTCCCGATAGAACGCGGTGATTATTCATCCCGCATTCTGCCAACAGTGAAGCCTTTCCATTGGTCAACCGGATGGCCCGGTCCATCCCAACTACCACAGAATCGCGCGCGGACTAGATCCCGTGTTAGCAAGTTTCATTCCGCTCACTTTTAAAAATGACACTGATTCATTATTTCATTGGGGCTTCGCGACTGAAGCCTTTTACCGTAGATGACGTCACATGACGAACGATACCACACCCAGGCCTGGCCTGGACCGGTTTTTCAAAGCTCGATTACTCCCCGACAAAGAGGATGCCAGACCTAAATAATACCGTTTCGGAAAGATCTCGACGAGACGGTTGCAACGCCGCAATTTTCGGGGCCGCCAACTTCTCGACTGCCGAGAAATCGAGCTTTGAAAATCGTTCCAGGGGTGTGGTATCTTGCGTCATTTCATGTCACCTACCGTAAATCTTAACCGAGCCTAACCGCACCAAGTTCTCAGCTACCAAGTTATTAAGTTCGGGCGCTTGTGCTATCGCCTGCAACGGAAGGACAACGAGGATGGGAAAAACTCCGCGGGACTGTCGGAATCACATAATGGTTGGAAGGAATGCCACCACCGCGCACCTCTTTCATTGTCACAACCCCCCCGCAACTGCCGCAAACAAGCAAAAGCAGCCTTCGGGAAAGAATATGATATTACTTCCCGTTGTATCAGCAAGTGTCAGCTACCGTACGTAGGTTGCATGAGATATCACACCCCCTGGACCGATTTTCGAAGCTCGACTACTCGGCAGAAAGAGCAGTGACCTTGGCGGCCTTGGAAACCTCTCGTCGACAGCTTTCCGAAAACATTTACTGTACTTCGTTTTGGCATCCTCTTCGTCGTGGAATAATGGAGGTTTGAAAATCGGTCCACGGGGTGTGGTATCTAACAAGTACAATATAACCCCAAGGTGTCACGATCAATGTGTTAGCTCGGCAGGCAATCTCGGACGACAAAAACAACAACGGATGGCTCAGAACGCGCCCGCCCGCACTTGGCAATGAAAATTCAGCCGCAAGAAAAAAAAAAACACTTGACCATAAGAACAGGTGCTCACATAGTATTCCGCCCGCACTTGGCAATGAAAATTTAGCCGCAAAAAAAACAAACAAAATTGACCATAAGAACAGGTGCTCACATAGGATTCCCACACCAAACAAAACCTACACGATTGGAGAGAAAACAAGAAACAACCCTTCGCCAAGATGAGAGTTTGGTACGAGCGGGCGCGTAGTGTACAGTATGACAGGTGCTCACATAGGATTCCTTAAACAAACATAACTGGTGCATGAATGCTTGTCGATGGTAGTACCACGAAAACTTGGTGAAATATCCGACGCGCTGAACTGGTAGAGTAATATTGTACGTATGTGTGTGTGTGTCTGTTTTGTTTGTGTTTTGTTATGGGTATTTTTTATTTTCAGTTGTTTAGACACAATATATTAGGATTTCCGGTAAAGAGGAAACAAGAAACAAGTCTCTGCCAAGACGAGAATGTGTCTTGCGAGCGGGCGCGTAGTTCAAGAAAACCAAGAGCATTGAACTCGCCTGAGCAGCCCTGATGACTCTGCCGTGCAACGTGTACCCGCACTTGAGCACCTGCAACACCGGAGGAAAGGGCCAGGCAAAAAATGCTCAGCAAAACAAATCGCCAAAACCAGGAACGATGGAGGGGGGCTGAAGCGCGTAGATGGATGTGGCATTGCCCGACCAGATGGAGTTGATGACTGCCACTCTGTTCTGAAACATGAGGACCGATCGAATGCTAGTGTGATGTCCCAATGGTCCCTGTTGCTCCGTGGACGAAGCACATACCTACTAAATATATGGGAGGTGGTATTGGCCACGCGTGGTCTTACCTTGTGGCAAAATACACACGCACACCCTCTCTGCGCCAACGGAGTTGTTGACCATTTTACCGTAGGTGACATGACACAATATACCACACCCCCTGGATCGATTTTCAAAGCTCAAGTACTCCACGACGAAGAGGCAAACCGCTGCGTTTGTGCTTATGACAACAGGCAGCCTGGCCATCTATTTCCAACCACCCCCGCAACAGAGTTGTCTCGTTTTCTATATAGAGAAAAAAAAAGGTCCGAAAGGGCCAATCAATCTAGTGGCCAACCATGCCACCCCGAGAAATCGGTGTCCCCCTTCTCTTACCTGTCCCCAGAGTTCTCAACTTCCTTCGCGTTTGCTTCTGACACGAGAGGTTGTCTGGCCGTCCACTTCTCACCCCCCCCCCCCCCCCCCCCCCGAGGCCCGCGGGAAAAAAAAAAAATCAATCTTTATTTTTATAAAACGGAATAAATAAATACCGGCC